CCAAAAAACAAACCACGAGATATCATATTCATCTCATCGAAATTTCAAAGAACTGATTTCTAACAAAAATTTTAAAAAATGTAATTGTGACTACGTTGACAGATGGGAGGTCAGGAATGAGCCTGTGTTGGTAGCATGTTGTTATTTCCCATCTCTTAGAGATCAGTTTTAAATCCTGTAGAGTAGCTGGGTGAAACTCAGGATGGGTTCGATTTAATCTGTGTGATTCTCTGATTCAGTATAGTCAGGCCACTAATGGCATGAATTAAATCTGCTTGATGAACGCGAGACAGATTAGGAAACCAAAACAATGGTGCATATCAACTTGTTCTCTTTAGAGAACAAAAATACTAGAAAATGGCATCTGTATTTTGGAACTAAAGTTGTACTATGTATTAGTATTTTGGAACTAAAAATAATATGAAAAGCATTTTTTCTCCCTTTTAAAAATTAATATGCATATTTAATCTGCCATCATAGGTCAACTATGCATGACTATGTTTTCATTATTTGCATGTAGCATTCCCCCCCCCCCTCCTCATTGTTTTCTTTTTTGAATAGAAATATTTTTTGCTAAAGCATTTATATCAGTAATAAACAATGCTCACACATATGAGTCATACAAAATAAAATGCACAGGAAACTTGATTACTTCCTACGACCTTCCTTCCGGAACAAACTTACATTTGCAGCAGTGTTGGAATGAAACAAATGATTCCAGAAAGACTAAACGTCTGGTTTATTTCATGAGCAAGTGCAACTAAAAGCAACTGTCGCAACATATCCTCCCTCACACAGTGCTTATTAATCTCAGATAGCAGAAAGAAACTTCTCTCCTCTGCCGAATATAAGGAATGGGAAATATTGGCATGGACACAGTTGGGAGGGCAACTGGCACTTATTGCCAGGACCATCGCCCTGAGAAAGAATCTTAATTCAAGTCAGACCGAGCTCCTTTAGATACTCATTTGATGGATTAACAGCCTGATGTTCAAACCTCCACGAGCGCAGCAGCTGATGAAGCAAAACAGAGCATCGAGACTCGGACAAGTCAACTAGTTGATCTATTTTGTAATTGGTGTTTTTTAGCTTTAATGTTTTTAAAAGCTTTTAAAGCTGTCCTGTTACATTCTGTTCTCGCTGTTTTTGAACCCAAGACGTTTTATGTGAAACAAGGCAGAAAATGTCTTAAAGGGATAGTTCACCCAAAAATGAAAATTTCCTGATAATTTACTCACCCCCATTTGATCCAAGATGTTCATGTCTTCTTTCTTCAGTCGAAAAGTAATTAAGGTTTTTGAGCAAAACATTCCAGGATTTTTCTCTATATAGTTGGACTTCAATTGTGGCCAACGGGTTGAAGGTCCAAATTGCAGTTTCAATGCAGCTTCAAAGGTCTCTACACGATCCCAGCTGAGGAATAAGGGTCTTATCTAGTGAAACGACTGGTCATTTTACAAATGTATATACTTTTTAACCACAAATACTCGTCTTACACTAGCTCTGCGATGCATGTCCACGACTTCACACATTACGTAATCATGTTGGAAAAGTCATGCATGATGTAGGTGGAAGTACCAACCCAGTGTTTACAAAGGGAACGTGCAAAGAAAGTCAAACGCCCTTTACAAAACACAGAAAAACATCCATGTCAGGTTGGCTTGATAACTGTGCTCGCGGCGACCCGAGTTCGATTCCTGCCTCGAGGTCCTTTGCCGATCTCACTCTCCACCCAATGCTTTCCTGTCTGATCTCTACTGTCCTATCCAATAAAGGCATAAAAGCTCATAACAATAACTTGAAGAAAAAAAAAACAATGATATCAGGCAATTTTGAAGTTGGAGAAAATGAATTTGTCTGTGTACTTCGGTTCAAAAAGGTAGGGTAGGGCGAAAAACTCAAAGAACTAACTGCGCATTACTTTTCCAACATGATTACGTAATGCGTGAAGTCATGGATTGCAGAGCTAGTGCAAGAGGAGCATTTGTAGTTAAAATGCATATAAATAAAAAATTTTGGGGAAAATGACTGATCGTTTCACTAGATAAGACCCTTATTCCTCAGCTGGGATCATGTACAGCCCTTTGAAACTGCAATTTGGACCTTCAATATAACAGCAGAATAAGTCCAAAATGACATTAAGATGCAGAAATCAAATAAGGCAGCTGGCTTGGATAAAATTCAGGCAGGACTTCTGAAGTATGGTGGTCCCATTGTAGTAGCGAAGCTAATAGATCTCTTTAATGCGTGTTGGCGAATGCAAGCTGTCCCTGAAGACTGGCAAAAGTGTACCATCATTAAGCTACCAAAAAAAGGGAATCAAATGGAATGTGGCGTGGCATAACCCTCTTGTCAGTACAGGGAAACTGTGTTTTCCACAGTTCTCCTAAGACGATTGCAGGCAGCCATTGACAAACGCCTCCAAGAAGAACAGGCTGGCTTCCGTAAAGGAAGATCATGTAGCAAGCAAATATTCACTTTACGTAACATCACTGAACAATGCGTGGCGTATTAGCATCCACTTTCCATCATTTCTATCGATTTCAGTAAAGCCTTAGATAGTGTCCATTGTGAATTCATAGCTGTCTTCAGGTCTTTGTAAAACAATTCCAGCTGCTGTGTCAGGACAGATACAGGCCACACTGACTTTTTTTGCCATTGAGACTGGTGTCAGACAAGGATGCATCTTGTCGCCATTCCTATTTATGGTGGCTCTTGATTTTGTTATGAGGAAGGCTATGGCAAGGCCAAATTCAGGCACTGATTGGGATGGACAGAACCGCCTCACTGATCTCGATTTTGCGGATGATATTGTTCTACTCGCTGAAAACGGTTACCATTTACAAGAAATAACATCAAGCTTACATAAAGAAGCAGCGAAGGTCAGATTACGCATTAGTGCCGAAAAGACCAAAGTCATGCATACCGGTGCTCAAGCTGACATGCCAAGGATTAAGGTTGATGGATGCGACATTAAAGAAGTCGATAGGTTTATGTACCTTGGCAGCACTATTGGACGAGATTGAGATGCAGAGATAGGCTAGACGTCAAATACCGGATTGGCAAGGCATCAACAGTCTTTCAACATATGTGCAAAATCTGGTCATCTACATCGATCTCACTTAACATCAAACTTCGCTTATATGCATCTATCATCCTTCCGATGGCAACTTATGCAGCAGAAACGTGGAAGGCATCGGCTAGTATTTCTCACAAGGTAGATGTCTTCCATCAGCACTGCCTACGAAGAATACTGCACATTCGATACTACGACCTCATTACTAATAAAGAAGTCCTGCGACGAAGCAATATGTCAAGCCTTAGTACAATGATTGCATACAGTCGCCTGTGGCTGGCTGGACACATTATGCAGATGGAAAGTAGCCGCATTCCAAAGCAGGCACTTCAGTGGGTCCCACCTAGAGGGCGGCGATGTAGGGGTCGACCACGACTGACCTGGTGCCGAACCTTTATCAATGACCTCAGTTCCCTAAACATCACATGGGAAGAAGCCAAAGATCTGGCCCTTGGTCGCAATTGCTGGAGAACTCTCGTCGTCCAATACGCTTCTTAGTGTGGGTGGAGAAGAAGAAGAGAAGAAGATATGGTTTTATTTTATTTTTTTATTTTCAAAAACGTGCAGCCGCTGACTTGCATTTTATGACCACGGTTTCAGCTACAAATCTTTTTTGCTCTTCTACTGAAGAAAAAGTCACCTACATCTAGGATGGTCTGGAAGTGAGTAAATTAACAGCAAATGTTCTTTTTTTGTGTGGTTGAACTATCCCTTTAATCAGGTAACAAGGCCTGGTCCAAACACTTGGGCATTGATGCTTTATCTTACAAAAGAGAAACAATGCTTTCCATCAACAGCCAAGTCCAAGAATGATCTTTATACAACAGAGTAAAGTACAAAAGTCTGAACAGGACAAAAGTCACAATGGCTACATCTTGGTGCTTTGTATGATGAATAAATCCTGACTCTTAATCGGCTTACATCAGCTGTTCCTCTTCTGAATGCTCAGATGTTAGTTTATTTGTGTTTTCTAAACAGTGTGTGTGAATGGTTTTGGACTAAACCACAATGGCTTGGAAAGAGCCGTATCTCAAAATCACGGATTTCCTTTTTAAGACTTGTTTGTTTTCTTCTCCACTTAGTCACTCCTACTTGCTCAGTCACAGTAAATCAGTTAATCTCCAAAATAATAATAATAATAAATCATTCTTAAAAATGGTAGCCCACAGGGTTTTGGTCTAGAATTAGAAATGTAATACACAAGTAATGCATATTGCATAGTGAGGTCTTTGCTTCAGAGGCTGTTCAGAGGCTTACCTAGACAGCATTTTAAGATAAAAAGGTGTCCTTCTAAAAGACAGCCTGCCTACTAAGATACTTCCTTTTGTCCAAATTCTTAAGCTGCATCAGACAAGGTAAAACTCATAATGTTTATTCAATACCTCCTGTGCACTTCACCTAAAGAGTGCTATTTGAGTGATGCACAGAGTTACTCTCCAAGTAGTGTTCCAAATCGCTCATTTAGGGTTCTATTTCAGTTAGGATGCCAAACTCATAAAGCAGCAATGTTATACTTGTACCTTTGCCGTTGCTCTATAAATGTCACTGGCAGACAAATTATGATGAAAGTAAAATGTATAAATGCCCAATGTATTGTAATTATAGCAATTAAAAAGCATTTTAAAAAAGTGTGCAACTACACTAACTTTTTATAATAGTGTTTATTTTTCCTATGACTCTATGATCCGATCAAGACCCAGCAGTAAAAATAAACAGCCAGACAGTAAAAAAATAAAAGGCCACACAACTATAATTACCTGAATTTTTAAATCATCAAAAAAAGTGACTTATAAAGTAGCAGCCTTTACAAAAACACAGACGGGATAAGAGAAAAGTTTAAAAATAAAAACAAACAAACATTAGATTGTGAAGAAAGTAAGATTATATATATATATATATATATATATACACACACACACACACATTAACTATTTCTTAAAAAGTGAAGGTAAAAGGTCATAAAAATCATCTAACACTTATAAAATGCCTCCTTGGAAAGTATGAGATGTTTGATAGTTGTTGTGAGATTAGTGTAGAAGCTGTTTTCATGGAAAATACCCTAAACAAAAGTCACTTCTTCCTCCTGAGGAACGCTTTTGCTTCTTTCTGCAGACGTTTAACGTCCTCTTTGCCACTGTTGTCTGATTCGGGCAGATAGTCTGAGTCTTCATCCACCTCCTCCTCACTCTCATCATTAATAAAACTGTTTTCGTAGTGATCTTCATCTTCACCCTCATCATCAGCAGCAGCGGTCTTGGCTGGGCAAACAAAACAGCATGAAATGTGGTTTGAATTAAAGATTTTGGACCCAGTTTACCCCTGTATTTCACACTGACCCCCTGTGATCACCCAAGACAGTGTAAATATGGCTTAAGAAGAAACATCTTGCTCAGTTGCATGGTTACAAGCTTAAATTTTTAAGATCTTCAGAGAATGAAAATGCTTCTAAAACATCTGTGAGCGTCTGTGGTCTCAGGCCTGGTTTTTATATGGCATTCGGCACGTACTACACTGTTTTTAGGAGGAAAATAACCAAAATGGTTGTGACTTCATGAAGCATTAAATGCAAATCACTTATCAGTGAAACCACTGGTGATTGTTAACAATCAAACGCCACAAAAGCTAAGATAATAATCTTCTAATGTTTATTTTGATCGATGCTGACGTCCATATGTGCAGTCTGTTCCTCCCCAGGGTCCATGCAGCATGTTTTCAATTAGTTTAAGAGGAGTTGAATTGTGTCAAATGTGACTACGGCCCAGAGGAGCCTCTGGTTACTCACCAAACATTACACTCATTCAGTTCAAAAGTAAATGATTCAGAATCTGGTATCATTGTGGCGCATGGATTTGCGGGCGTTAAATATGCATGAGTTGGAAGAATAAACATATTGTTTATTCTTCATCTCAGAATGTCAAGGTTATTGCATCTCAGACAACTGAAAGTGTTGGTCGCACTTTCAAAGCTCTTTATACAAATTGAGATGCGATTGGTAAGTGATGACCATTGCGACAAACCTAGTCATTTGAACTCAAAGCTCTTTAGTCTAAAAACAGCTTATATTGAAGGCAGTCTGCCAAAACGACAGATTGTGGAATGTGCCACTCAATGATGAAATAGTGGGGCTAAACACCGTCTCCGCAGAAGATGATCAACGCCTGCTTCTACATCGCTGCCTGTTTAGCCCCGCCCACTGATTCTACATCGCTGCCTGTTAAGCCCCACCCACTGAGTCTACATCGTTGCCTGTTCAGCCCCGCCCACTGATTCTACATCACTGCCTGTTTAGCCCCGCCCACTGATTCTACATCGTTGCCTGTTTAGCCCCGCCCACTGATTCTACATCACTGCCTGTTTAGCCCCGCCCACCGATTCACACACGTAGTAGGTAAATAATAACGAGAGAGGCAAACGCATGTCTAGTTGTGGGGGAAAAAAGTCTTTGCATAGCCTTCCTTCTGACCCAAACATTAGAAAAGAGTGGACTTTATTTTTAATGAAGCTGCAGACCATGTCATTAAGAACTCGGTCCTTTCTTCACTTCATTTTACCGTGGATTCAGGCACAATTCGACAATCTAGCAGTGGGCGTTTACTTCAGAGTCTACAATCGGCCACACCTATTCAAACAGAGCGTTCTGATGAGAGGGGCTAAAAACATAACAGAAAATAGCCTTACTTCTAAATTATGATGTTTTTGATGTAAAAATCGTGATAACATTATAAGTGGACCTCAGGGAACAGTACAAAATAATAAAAAGGCAGTTCATGACTCCTTTACGACATGCTGATTTGATGCCAGAAAGCTTTCAACATGACTCACTGCTGCACTTAGATAACAGGACTTTTCCTGGGGCAAAATGCCATTTTGTTGTAGATTATGTGATAGAGTTGATTGACTTCACACCATTTCAAATAACTGTTTTAACTTAAAGGGATAGTTCACCCAAAATTCTGTTATGTTTGGAACGACATGAGGGTGAGTAATTAACGACAGAATTTTCATTTTTGGGTGAACTAACCCTTTAAGTGATTAACAAATAAATGTTTATAAGCTTGCCTACATAGGATATACTGTATTAGTTGTTTTAGGGTTAAAGTAGTTCAAATATTTCTATAGACGTACACACACAGAGTTTTTCTTTAACTAAAGATTTCTTTGACTCATTTTCACCAACGCCGCCATTTTCTCATCTATTTATTTAACATATTTATTTTACTCAATCAAAATACAGGTAAACAGTAATATTATAAAATATAATTACAATTTAAAATAATTGTTTTCTGTTTGAATATATTTTCAAGTGTAATTTATTCCTGTGATCAAAGCTGAATTTTCAGCATCATTACTCCAATCTTCAGTGTCACATGATCCTTCAGAAATCATTCTAATATGCTGATTTACTGCTCAGGAAATATTTCTTAATTATTATGAATATTGAAAAAGCTGTACTGCCTAATATTTTTGTGGAATCCTGTTTTTTCAGGATTCTTTGAGTAGAAATTTCAAAAGAACATCATTTGTTTGAAACAGGAATCTTTTGAAACATTATGTCTTTTCTGTCCCTTTTGAAGTATTCATTTCTTAAAGAAAAAAGAACAGTCTGTATCACTGATCTTTTGGCAACTAACCTTTCAGTTTTAAAGAAGTATTTTTTAGATTTACAGCACTCCATTATCCAGCACCTGGTCATTTGAGATGCTTAACCTTCCAAAACGCTTCGAAGTAGAGATTTATGCGTCTAATTCAAGAGCCTCACTCGGCTTTCGTGGTTTCCATCGCACAATTTATTTCTGATGAAAACCTAAATGCAGAAAAAACCCTGTATAATTCTAATAGTAGTCCAGAAGATGATCACAGCTCACACCTCTCATATCAACGCTGCTCCCTGCGGTCTGTAATTTTGCACTGCTCGACGGGTCTATAGTCCAAATTCGACAGGACGGAGGAAAGGGGAGGAGACAGGGAAGAAAGACTGAAGGCATTTTTTAGGAATTAGGGACTGCATTCTGGAAAGCGCAACTAATTTATTCTGTCGTTAATTACTCACCCTCATGTCGTTCCAAACCCGTAAGACCTTCGTTCATCTTCGGAAAGCAAATTAAGATATTTTTTGATGAATTCTGAGAGCTCTCTGACCCTCCCATAGACAGCAAGGATCCTAACATGATCAAGGTCCAGAAATGTAGTCTTTATTCAAAAGTCGTTATTTTTGTTTTCTTTGTGCACAAAAAGTATTCTCGTAGCTTTAACATTACGGTTGAACCACTGATGTCACATGGATTATTTTAACGATGTCCTTGCTACGTTTCTGAGCCTTGATCGTGTAAGGATCCTTGCTGTCTATGGGAGGGTCAGAGAGCTCTCGGATTTCATCAAAAATATCTTAATTTGCTTTCCAAAGATGAACGAAGGTCTTACGGGTTTGGAACGACATGAGGGTGAGTAATTAACGACAGAATTTTCATTTTTGGGTGAACTAACCCTTTAAGTGATTAACAAATAAATGTTTATAAGCTTGCCTACATAGGATATACTGTATTAGTTGTTTTAGGGTTAAAGTAGTTCAAATATTTCTATAGACGTACACACACAGAGTTTTTCTTTAACTAAAGATTTCTTTGACTCATTTTCACCAACGCCGCCATTTTCTCATCTATTTATTTAACATATTTATTTTACTCAATCAAAATACAGGTAAACAGTAATATTATAAAATATAATTACAATTTAAAATAATTGTTTTCTGTTTGAATATATTTTCAAGTGTAATTTATTCCTGTGATCAAAGCTGAATTTTCAGCATCATTACTCCAATCTTCAGTGTCACATGATCCTTCAGAAATCATTCTAATATGCTGATTTACTGCTCAGGAAATATTTCTTAATTATTATGAATATTGAAAAAGCTGTACTGCCTAATATTTTTGTGGAATCCTGTTTTTTCAGGATTCTTTGAGTAGAAATTTCAAAAGAACATCATTTGTTTGAAACAGGAATCTTTTGAAACATTATGTCTTTTCTGTCCCTTTTGAAGTATTCATTTCTTAAAGAAAAAAGAACAGTCTGTATCACTGATCTTTTGGCAACTAACCTTTCAGTTTTAAAGAAGTATTTTTTAGATTTACAGCACTCCATTATCCAGCACCTGGTCATTTGAGATGCTTAACCTTCCAAAACGCTTCGAAGTAGAGATTTATGCGTCTAATTCAAGAGCCTCACTCGGCTTTCGTGGTTTCCATCGCACAATTTATTTCTGATGAAAACCTAAATGCAGAAAAAACCCTGTATAATTCTAATAGTAGTCCAGAAGATGATCACAGCTCACACCTCTCATATCAACGCTGCTCCCTGCGGTCTGTAATTTTGCACTGCTCGACGGGTCTATAGTCCAAATTCGACAGGACGGAGGAAAGGGGAGGAGACAGGGAAGAAAGACTGAAGGCATTTTTTAGGAATTAGGGACTGCATTCTGGAAAGCGCAACTAATTTCACGTTAGAACAGCAATAATGTTGTGATTTAGCATGCACTGTTATAAAATGACATGTTGCCCAAAAACAATTTTGGCGTCACTCACTAAATCCATTTCTCTATATTTTAACTTATTGCCAAACGAGACCCCAACAGGAAGTAAATACGACATTATTCAGTTTACGCTCAATTAGTGGTGTCTGCTAAGGTAAGCATCACTTTTATTATTGTTAAACTTAGTGCTCAGGATCTGAACAAACCCTTCATCTTACACCAAGTATTTAACCGTGGCACACAGTTCACATTAATTCACATGTAAAAATACTCACGTGGTGATTTAGTGTGTTTGTAATCTTTCTTGTGAAGCAGATTCTTCCTGCAATATTGAGGCAAGCACAAAGAAGAAGAAACTTTAAACAAACTCTAGAGTTACACTTAATCTAATAGACTTTTCACTTAAGGCAAAACAGGTAAATCCTTTATTTATTTATTTTATTTTGATGCATTGGGCTATTTTGGATACTTAAAATATCTTCTGTCAGACTAGTGGAAAGAGAATATTCAAAATACACAAGTGATAAATAAAATATACAAAATCCCCTCTGAAAAAGCCTTTATGTCAACAAAACAAGAATTTCGAACCCGGCTTTATCCAATGTTCAGATTTCTGTTCTGGAAATGTATGCAAATTAGTGCATACTTAATTAGATGATAACTCGCTTGCATATATAAACTGTGTACTATGATTAATCTATTTGGGAAAGAATGGTGATATCAGTTAGTTAAATTAAACTGTGGTGTCTTGCCTTAATATTTTCTTCCTGAGCTCCACTTGTAGTGCATCTTATAATGATGTGTAAAAGTGGACAGTCTTATGTTAATATGCTCTGAATAAGTCCGTTTTTCCATCTTATTTTTAAAAATTAATTATACTGAGCAGGACGTTTTGAGTTCTGATAGTGACAGTTTTCAACGAGATCAAAAAACTTTGATGAAGTACACTAAATATGCATTTAAATGAAGTATTGTGGTGTGGTTAAACTCGCTTGTCGTCACCTGTAGCAGTGGGTACCATACGGACACTCAGGCCTGTCATCGTCAGCATCCTCTGCCTCCTCTTCCTCACAGTCGCTGTCTCCAGGGTGACTGCACTCCTGAAAGTGGACCGGATTTTTCCTGGTGAGAGAAAAAACACAATTGCTGAGTGAACTGCAATGCACGCTGGAACACAATAAGGCAAATGAATTCAATCACGGGCATTCATGCAACTTAATTACACTGACAGCTAATCTAGCTGGAAATTAAAGTACTATTCAGCAGCATTTCCGCTGTTCATTTCAGCTTGTCGTTATCATTCTGTGACCCATCATAATGTAATATTTCAATTAAACTGGCAACAGAATGAAACTCATAAATCACAACTGATGTCAGTTAGAGTCCCCTTTTAAAGTGTATGTAGCTTCTTTATGGCTGTGTCTAAAGGACAGTTTGGAAGGGAAGGAACAAAAAAAGATGCAGGGTATGGGAGTCCCAACAGAAAACTGAACCGCGTACAAATGGAAAGAGTTTACAACCGCGTGTCACGCTTCACCGCTGCGTTTGGGCCAGCTAAAATACCAACTTTGTGTTTCATCTCTCAGCTTTTTAATATTAAAAATAAACATAAGAGAATTAGACGTTAGGGAAAACATGTGCGTATGTCTTTGAAATAACTCACAAACTATCATCAGAGAAGCTTTTGCTTGGGATGGTTTCATTCTTAATCCTCTTTTAGCATCTTATCTTGAGATAGTATGAACTCCAACAAACTAATTAGCAGTGTTGATCTTCAAGAAATATTTCAAGTTATGTTTATGCCATTATACTGTCTTGAATAGTAATATAAGCAATGTCTAAACATTGACTTGTCAAAGCAGCAAAGTTTAAAAAGCAACAGTTCACTCAAGGTTCTTCAGTCTTGCGGTGCAGTACCTGTAGCAGGAGCTGCCGTAAGGACACCGTGTCCGTCGCTCCGTGACCGTTGACCTCTGCGGGCGTCCCTGGCTGATCTGAGAATCACTGGGATCTTCTGCTTGTGTCTTTGAGTCTTCAGCTTGAGCTCCTGGTCTGACCTCAGCTCCCCTGCCAGCTCCCCTTCTCTCCCCATCATCACTCTCCATCACACCGGTGCTGTTCTCTCCATCCAGGACTGATCCGACTCTGCTGCTCTTGGGAGCGGTTGCATCCTCCTGTCAGGACATCCATGCACACAGTAAATACTCCGTTCTGCTTACATTTCAGTGCAACACAGTGCAGGTATTAGCTGTGACAATTCTTGTAATCATATCTAACATGTTTTACAGATAAAATGTACTATTAAAAGGAAGAAAAATTAACAAATGTTTAAAATAACAATAAAACAAATTGTACAATTATTAAAGTAAAAAAAGGAAGAGGATTTATTCATTATTATTACTATTCAAGATTAGTAATATACCCAAAATGACAATATGCCACCAGAGTGACACATACATTTATTAGGTAATATAAATATAAATACAAACACAAAATGTGCAAGCTTTTTACAATTTACAATTTTTTTTAAATAAAATGTATAATATATATTTTTATAATGCCAATTTTACAAAATGACAGCAACAGCAAATTATAAAAGTCAATAATATAATATAATATAATATAATATAATATAATATAATATAATATAATATAATATAATATAATATAATATAATATAATATAATATAATATAATATAATATAATATAATATAATAAACAGTAATATACTAGGGTCAAGAATCCCATATTGTGTAAAATAGCTCATTTACCTGAGGTGCAGACTCATCTTCAGAGTCACTCTTCAGTCTCTTTGCTTTCCTTTTGGGCAGCTCTTCCTCCACCTCCTCTTCCTGAGATGACACCCGTGTGGCTCGAGCTCGTTTAGGTCCAGCTGCCCTCTTGGGTGTAGCTACTCGTTTGGATTTTGCAGGTGTCGCCTTCACCGCTGAGCTCTCACCTGCTCCAAAACAGCCAGAAAAAACACTGTTATTGATGGATAATGTCAATACTCGCAAGTTTTTGGTCACTACATAATTCAATATAAACAAAGAGTAATAATAAAGTGTAAAAAGTACAGGGGGAAAAATTCTTAAAATCGTGGTCTCCTGATGCAGTGATTACACACTGAATGAACTCTATGATTGATCTGTAGGACCACAACAGAGTGAAAAACACCCCAGAGGGGCTCCAGATGGACCTGTAGCACTGAAGGTCAGAGATGAGAGGTGACATGGATGTTTCGGAGACAGAGAGAACAGTACAGCTAATGTAGGACTCTCTCCAAACATCTGTCCATCACGGTAAGTGTGTGCTGAGGAAACAGAGTCTGATGATGAGTACGTGTGTGTGCTGTGCACTGAGCATGAAGGGGATTGCTCAACTCTTGATTCAGTCCAAAATGACTGTTGCAGGTGCAAAAAAGAGCTCTCCGCCTCTGTTGATAAGGGCTAGAAAAACTACATTAGAAATTTCTACTTAAATATTATCAAAATTCGAATTATATTCGAATTTAAAAGGCATAATTTCAGTTAGGGGGAAAAAAGCTTTTGGCTTCTCTCCTGAGGCCACAAGAGGGCACATCGAGCAAAATATTATGCACGTTTCTTCAAAGCGTAATAAAATAACACGACTATCTTTGGGAAAAAAAAGTGCATAATGTTTAAAATAATGTTTATTAACCATATATAATTAATAAAGTTGCTTAAACAATTGGAAAAAAACAGCACCATGCATGTATGTATAGTTTAATACAAAGGACCGAAAACCAATCACAAAGAGTAGGCTACTTTCTTCATTTAAAAACATGAGATACAGTGGGATGGGGGAAAACCGACATAACGCCTCTTGGGTGCAACGTTTTTGCATTCGAATGTGGATTTTTTTTATTTTTATTCGACGAATATTCGAAATTCGAAATTTTTTTGGACAGCCCTACAATGGATTCAGGTTTTTTGAGGGGGGTTACAGAAATCAATACTATTATTCAGCAAGGATGCATTAAGCTGATCAAAAGCGACAAAATTTATATTTTGAATAAATTCTTTGAACTTTCTAGAAATATGAATACTTATATAAACATTTATTTATATTTATTTTAATAAACAAATACTTTGTAACAAACTAATAACAAACAAACAAAACATAGATCGAGCTTTACTCTCCCTAAAAATATGTAATTTTTTTGTTATAGGAAAAATAGCTTAAAAATTCAAATTAAATAGATAAATATTAATATTAACTATATTAAATGTTAAAATTATTAAATAAATATATACATACAAAATATTTATTCTATGCACATTAAAATTAAGCTCAAATTTCACCAAAATTATGTATTTTGAGAGAGTTACACATCTTTCTATTAAAACAGAAAATAATTTGTCAGTGGGATTTGATGCATCACCACTTTCATCAGTCTTTTTAATTTTATGTTTCCATTAATAAATAAAAAAATCCAAAGAGCAGACGACAGTGATATAGAATTATGGGTAAGGATGTAATATCACACCCTGAATGGTTAAAAAAAGGCTTTTAAACACTTGTTTACTGTAATGGACATCATGTATCAGAGAGTTAAAGACATATGCTTACTAAACACACAAATCTGCTCCTACATGAGCTGAATAAGAAAGCTTTCTCAAGCACGACCCTGAATGCAGGGGAAAGTGCCACGAGATCCAGATGAAGTGTTGAATATGACAGGTTTGGTGCTAATGAGCTGTTTAAGAAGTCTGTAGCACACTTGCTCTTTTTTCATGAGCACATTAGCGATACAGCGAGACATGGCTGGGTCGAGTCATAGGTCTGTAGCTGATTTGACAAGAGGATGGTGACTAACTCTCTGCATGCTCCACTTTCTCCACTTTGTTCCTCAACAACAGGCTGAGAAGAGTAACCGTGACGACCGGACACTTGGCTGATGTGTTCTTTTTTTTTTGAATAAGTGTGAAAAGACAGAACACTGGATCTGTTGCCATGGGGACAGTACCTTTGGCTGAAGTCATCATCCAGGCCGGCAAGATCCGCTTCTTCTGTGGCACATCAGACTCGTTCTGTTGGCTCTTTGTGGATGCCTTGAAAACACAAAATAGAAATAGATTTGAAAATGACAATATACAGGAGTGTAGCCAAGTAGGGTATTGAAGAGTATACAAAAATACAGAAAATTAAAAAACAGTAGGGTATAGAAGCGAAGTGAGTATAGATAAGAAAAGTATAGAAGGTATAGAATGTTATGTATAGACAAAGAGAGGTATAGAAGAGAGAAACTTTATAAAGATTTATTTTTAATAAATATAATAAATAAATAAATCACATTTAAATAATATATAAAAAATGAATACATATAAACATGGTTGATGTTAAAAATGGCTTAATGTTTATAAATATATATAAATTATGTATTTTGAGAGTTGTAGTCAGTAAAGACAATAGTAGTCAATATATAAGTGATACAGAACAGTAGGTTATAGAAGACAGGTATAGAAGAGAGAAAAGACAGAATTGAAAGTAGGGTATATAGTTTTGTATACAAAGTATAGAACTGAAAAGTGTAGAACAGATGAGTATTAAATATGTTTATAATTTCTGATAAGGAACTACGCAGCAAACAGAGAGCACGATGTAACAGGAATGTACAAATGATAGTAAAAGCAGCAATAACAGCAGGGTGCGTCCTGCTGCTCCTGGAATAAAACAAGTAGCTAAGAACTTCCAGCTAGAAGAAACATCAGGGTACAATACAATCATGCATGAGTCCATATGTTTAAAGGGACAGTTCACCCAAAAATGAAAATTCTGTCATCATTTAGTCACCCTCAATTTGTTTCAAACCTGTATGAGATAAAAAATAAAAAAAAAGATATTTTGAAAAATGGTGGTAACCAAACAGTTGACGCTAGCCATTGACTTCCATAATACTTTTTTCCATACTATGCAAATCAATGGGGACCTGCAACCTGTTTGGTTACATTTTTCAAAATATCTTCTTTTGTGCTTAGCATAGGGACGAAACTCATACAGGTTTGGAACAACTTGAGTGTGACTAAGTGATGACAAAATTGTAATTTTTGGGTTAACTATCCCTTTAAATAACCAAAATCCTACCAAAATCTACAATCTGGTCAAAGCTGTGCCACTTTTCAAAAGTTTGGTGTCAATAAGATTTTTAATACGAAATTAATATGTTTATTTAGCAAGGAAGCATTAAACTGATCAAAAGTGACATTGATAATGTTATAAAATATTTGCATTTCAAATAAATGCTGTTGTTTTGAACTTTCTATTCATCAAAGAATTTCGAAAGAATGGTTTTCATGAATATTAAGCACAACTGTTGATAAGAAATGTTTTTAGAGCACCAAATCAGAAAATATTTTCAAAACAATGGCAAGATATGCTATGCAGTATAATAATGTTTCCTATACTATACATTTACGGATGAAAAGGGGCAATAGTCTGAAAACTATTTTTTTTTTTTTCCCATGCTTATCCAAACCTGGAAATACCATACTTTTTCATACTGCATAGGAAGATTTTTTAATGCACAGGAACCCTGATAAGTCGTCTCTTATCTGGGTTCCTATGCATTAAACTGTATCTACCCCAAACCTTTGACCGGTAGGTTTTATGTAGTATGCAAACACACACACCTCATTTAGAGAGGAAAGAGTGTGTGAAGGATGACTCGTTCCTTTATCTTCTGTGAGTGTGGCGCTCGGAGTCGTGAGCCTGCAGCTGCTGGCTTCAAGTGTGGCCGAGTCTAGAGAGGGTGCTGCTGGTCCACTCGAACACTTCTCCACCTCCATCTCCTCCTCAAACGCCTGACTGTTTCTGTGAAGAACCAGCAGTGAAAATCTTCTCTACTTCTCTAAGTTAAGCACCACACTCTGGTAAAAATCCCTCAGATAAGCTTCAATAATGTAAATGGCCTATATCTCGCCAGTCTTTAAAACAATTCATCAACAAAAACAACAATCCCTCGTCAGCATGCGCACACCATAAAAGAAGACAGCCACCTAATAGCCTAATTTCACAGATGAAAGGCATGACTTTTAAATGCATGCAAATCAGCACATTCAGAATCAGTTCGTCAGAGCAGCTCTTATCACTTGTTTATCATCTGGGTGTTATCAGAGCGTCTGTTTTGAACATGTCCATTCGAGCTCAGTGTGCTCATTATAGAGAAAGACAATAAAAGTGGCCTTTGATGTGAACCCAGCGGTCACAGATCGGTTTTAAGGGAAAAGGTCAAAATGAACACATTCAACCAGACACTTATTATCATGTCTAGCGGGAATATAGATAGATGAGATAAAGGGTGCTATTTTAAGATGACAAAGAATGATAAGACTGCAAGCATGAATGTATTTGAATATTCATGAGGATCTGTAATTGAAGTCAATGTGAAACATTTGCAATCAATTTCACTTCCATAATGCGACAGCATTCAACAAGAAAACAATGTAGCACTTCATTGCATCCATAAGGAATTCTTTCGGATTGAAAAAGTGTTTCAAACCAGAATGAAGCCAATTTGATTTCATGTTGACTTTAAACAAATGCATTCGACACCAATATATTAACCCTTTCCTTAAAGAAGTAAAATAAATAGAGAGGTTGCTGCAAATCATTGCACGCCTACATAGCCAATCAGATTGAGCTCTGTTGTTGTTGAATAATAAATGAATGCCTGTGAGTGACCGCTGAATCACCTCAGGGTTTGATCCTCTTCTTTGACATGCACTCTGTAAATGTATTTCCCAGGCATGAGAGAGAAGATGTCGCCCTCCTTTAGGCAATGCCACTGGTCCTTCTCCAGCGGCTGAGGCGCAGCCACAATGTTCGTCTGAATAAAACATGGGTTCAGGTGTGTCTAGAGGATAGCAATGAGAGGAATACTGGTCAATCACATGCAAATAATAAGCCTTTTTGCATAGGTCTTTTACATACAGGCATGCTCAGAATTACTTTGCCACCTTGTGTTGAAAGAGACAACGAGGAGAGGAAGGAATCAGGCAGGATTTGTCTCCTATATGAGTGCAATGTCTGAATATTTCGGAAGCATGTGCGCAAATGCTAAGCCATGGCTTTGACAACAATTTCTTTCAACAAAAAGTCCAAATTTGAGCCAGTGTTGTTTATTATTGATTTTTTTTTAGTTTAGGTTTTAGCCATTTTTGAGCATTTGCCATATTTGTTAGATTTATACTTCTATTTATATTTTTGTACTTAGTACAACTTGAATTTCTTTTAAAATACGTTTACTTTTTTTACTTTTTCCATCTAATATTTATATATTTCAGATGTATTTTAATGAACAAAAACAATTTAATAGTTTTAGTTAATAACAACACTGATTTGAGCTTGTGGAGCTAGGAGCATTTGCCATATTTGTTAGATTTATACTTCTATTTATATTTTTGTACTTAGTACAACTTGAATTTCTTTTTAAAATACGTTTACTTTTTTAACTTTTTCCATCTAATATTTATATATTTCAGGTGTATTTTAATGAACAAAAACAATTTAATAGTTTTAGTTAATAACAACACTGATTTGAGCTTGTGGAGCTAGAAAAAAAAAAAGAATTATCTCAGTTAGGTATCAATAATCTGAATATTCATGAGATTTTTGAAATCAAGGACTTGTTATATACTCAGAGGCGAAAGATCAATGGAGGCGAACATTACCCAAATGCAATCATCGTTGCTTTGACAGCATGACTAACAGGCTATAACGACACATGTAATTAAGAGAGACAGCTGCTCAAGAGAGAAAGATGCGAGGAGAGAGCTCATATTTAAAAACTTTTGATGTGTTCTTAACATCAAAGGGCGAGTGCCGCTTTTATTCGACAGAAGAGTGTAAAATGACAAAACCACAATCACGAATCTCAGCCCACATCAGACGACTAACAAAAACCTACAGGCTTCAGACGCAGCTGGCCATTCAGGTTCTCAAGGATGCCGTGGTTTCTGGACACTCTCTTATCATTCACCTGGTGGAGAGCAAAGTCAAAGTGAAATGATGCTATAATGGTAAACTGTATCTTAAAAAGTATGAATGTTTCTGGTGAACGGTGCAAAACTTTAAAAGTTTGGGTTCTGTAAGATTTTTTAAAGAAATCTTTACTTTTATTCAAGTATGCATTCAGCCGATCAAAAGTGACAGTAAAGAGATTTATAATGTTACAAAACATTTCTACACTTGAAAATAAATTCTGTTCTTTTGAACTTTCTACTGATGAAAAAATGTAAATTTCCACACAAAAAAAAAAAAAAAATGAATCAGCACAACTGTTTTCAATATTGATACTAATAAGAAATGTTTCTTGAGCAGCAAATCAGCATATTAGAATGATTTCTGAAGAATCATGTGACACTGAAGACTGGAGTAATGATGCTGAAAATTCAGCTTTGATCACAGGAATAAATTGCATTTTCAAAATATATTCAAATCGAAAACATTTCTTTTGAATTGTAATAATATTTCACAATATTATTTTTTTTTTTTTTGCTGTCACTAAAATACTTCTTTTAAAAACATTTAAAATCATTTAAATCTCTGAACAGTAGTGTATGTTTTCCTATATGAAGAGAATTCAGTGTCACTTCCAATCATAAATGTTCAATGGCACCCACCACTATCATAAACATTGCTTGCTGCAGCTCAGTGTCATTCATCGTGTGTAGCAGAACATTACAGTGACACCATGAGGCCACTTCACTGTGATCTCAGTGATTTAAAGACCCCATGATATGAAACGACTCCAGCTTTCTGTTTTGTCCTGACATATTTCCTTATGTAACAGGAAGCTGGCGTAAGACAAACAAGATGGGTTTTTTTGCAAGACAAAGATTTTAAATGTATAATTTATTTATATGCTAAAGGCTGTCAACTTGTATGTGTACACTAGCATATAGATTACCTTAAAGCATACTCCCATTTTGATTTTATTGGGTCTTTAAAAAAAATAATCTTTGCTTTATAACCGATGTCAGGACTCCTGAGGTTTGTTAGTACAATGCAAAAAAAATGTTGTCAATTCATGGACCACTCTATGAGATATTTCACCTCAGCATCACCTATTTCTAACCCTCAGACATAAGAGTTTGGGTGCCATCTTGAGGGCTTTGATTGTCATTGCTCAATGATAAATGGCTCATGCATGAAACTGAAAGTAACACATTTGTTTTGTGTGTTCTGCATTAAACCAACATGAAGAAAACATTCAATATGCCAAAACATACATCTATATAAACTATATAAACAAAAACATGCAGCTTTAACATACAGACAGTCTATTTTATTTGGGTAATTCCACCATGACTATTTAGCTTTGAAAATGCATTTCTGTAAAAGTGCACAGCACACTTGGCTCAAGTTCAGCCACTTAAATTATTATTAGTTAATTATAACTTGAGAATTTGCACAATGGAAATTACATTAGCATGCTATTTAATATATTTTTAAGACATACTAGTGAAAATACAGTACATAGTACTAATAGTCCACTTACCCCTAGAAATGGTCCTCTCCCCAGGGCAGTTCCTCCATAGGGCAGCTCTATAGGACTGCCACCGTCCACCTGCTCCAGCTCAAAGCCTGGCATCTGTGCATAAGAAGGCACACAGACCTGTTTGTACTTAAAGTTCACTGTAATTAACTATAAAGTGTATACAAATGCTGTAAAGCAGATTTGGGCTCGCATGCGCTGCTGTTTTAAAACTTCCTCAGTACAAACTCTCCCATTATTATTTTAAGAAAGAAATTACTTACTATTTAATTAGGTTGCGAAGACGAATTCGTTACAGTCGACTTTTCGCTGCTTTGTGTACAAGAAAAATGCTGAAGAAGCTGACTGTGTTGACTGAACGAGATGTGTAACAAGAAATGAATAATATTTCGGACTTCCGGTTAACTCCAAGACGGGCATGAGCATGCGCTGTATAAACACGCACGTGGGACCCTTTCTAAACGTGTACCCACAAGGGTGCACAAATTTAGGACACGAATAATAAAAACTGTAACCTATAACTCAAATTCTGCACTACAATAATGCAGAATCAAAACAACTTTAAATTTCCGCTGGAGAGACGCGCATGCGCAGTGGGAACGGGGCGAGGTTTGCCTTGTGAGGTTTCCGGTGTAAACAAACGCTGACATTTAAATCCTCCGTCGGTATGAATCTTTACAAATAACATGTTTAGTTTTTTATAAATATTATTAATTTGTCGTACAGAATAGAGTTATATAGATGTGACCGTTTCGTATTTGTTTTTAAAATCTGTTTTAGACACTGTTAGCTAGATTTACTTGGTGGCTTTGTCCACGAACGAACATATAGTGCGATCGTTCAATTACACGCACACTATAACCTTTGTGTTGCTTAAATAATGCATTATTTGTAAGTCATATGTGTCCCTGTACCACAAACCAGTCATAATGGTCATAAAGTCATAAATAAGCTTTCCATTGATGTATGGTTTGTTAGGATTGGACAATATTTGGCCGAGATACAACTATTTGAAAATCTGGAATCTGAGGGTGCAAAAAATTAAAATATTGAGAAAATCACCTTTAAAGTTGTCCAAATGAAGTCTTTAGCAATGCTATTACTAATCAAAAATTAAGTTTTGATATATTCACACGGTATTGTGACCCATACAATGTATTGTTGGCTATTGCTACAAATATACTCTTGCTACTTAAGACTGGTTTTGTGGTCCAGGGTCACATATGTTCTGTCATACAAATAACTGGTGTTGGACTCAATGAAAATAAAACTGAAACTGTTCTAGGACGCTGAGAGATGCAGAATGTCTGTAAAAGGAGCAACAGCGCAATCTTCAGCCGAGATAGAGCATCCAACTTGATCCCTGGTGACCAGGATCCACTTCAGCAGAACTTTACAGAGACCCTTCCTACAGAGATGAGTGTTAGGATCTTCAGTGAGCTGGATGTCAAGAGTTTGTGCCGGGCCTCGCTCACCTGCAGACACTGGAATGATATAATCGAGGGCAGCGATCAGCTGTGGAGGAGCCACTGTCTTACAGTGCTGGCTATTTGCCGGAGGGAGGTGGATGGGGACAGGCTTGTTGGGTGTTCATGGAAGGTTTGTGTTATTGCTGTTAAAATTCTGCTTCATTTTGTTCCCATCTCTGCTGGTTGTTTCTTATTTACCTTTCCTTTTTTGTTCCAGGTTACTCTTGTGCGTAACTACAGGAAAGGCTGCGTAAAGCGGAGGTGGCTGAAGGGCCGATACAGTAACATCCGCTCTGCTGATGATATCCCGCCCAACAGCATGTGTCCACTGGACGTGGAGACCTGGGGAGAGATACTAGAGGCGGAACTGGATAGATAGAGCAGAGACAGACTTTTGGGATCCTGCCAATGGACTGAAATATATCAGCTGTGTCTACAATGGAAGCACTATGACTGAAACACTTGCTGGGCAAATAATTTTATAATCGGTATTGCAAAAAAGTTCAAAGACTGTGGCGGCCAGAATACATGATTATGTGGCTTTTGTTACCGAACATTTTAGTTGTTTTAGTTGTAATTTGCTTGAGACTGTAATGGAAAATAAGGTTTTATAGGTTTTATATGATGGAATCATTTTATAGATGGAACAGAGAGAGATCTTTTCTTCGCTCTTTTCGTATAGATCAACAAAAGTGCACATTTTGATTTAAGTATTGATTTTTGTTAATTTATTTGATTTTTAGAGTCACTGACAAAAAGTGTTTTGCCTTAAATCATGCAACTATTATTATATCAAAGCTAATATATTAATGAATATTATGTGTCCTAATGCTATACTTCCCTCTTCAGCGCTGGCCTCTCTTTCCATTTCTGCTGCTATCTGTATTATGCATATGTCTTTATAACCACATAATCATTTAAAGCAATATAGAAATATTGTTACATTTAAAAGCACCATTTTTGCAGTGTAAAAATGCCTTTTTTCATACAGTATTCATACAGAAATCAGTATGCATGAACTAGCACTGTGGAAATGGAAAGCCTATTTCATTTTTTAAAAAAGATATTTTTTTTTTTCCCCACAGGTTTTATTATTACACTGGCAGATATAAAACACAGAACAATACAGTGAAGAGGACATTGTCTGCATTTTTTTCCTATCTTATCTCCATGTTTAACTCAGAATTACAGTCAAAACTGTAGGTGAAGAGAGAAAAGGGGGGGAAAAAAGTGAATCAGACCGAAACTAACACATTACATTACATTACCTCCCCCATCCATAGACCCCTCAGGAGGATTGACAGGAAACTGCATTAATATAATAATACTATATATATGAGATAAATATAATAATCTATGAAATGTATATAATAATAAAGTATGTATTCAAATGAGAGAAGAGAGAAAGGGGAAAAAAAACAAATATACATGCAGAAGTATATACACAACCATGTTGTACTGTACATAAATGTAAACATGTTCACACACTGAAAAACTCAATCAGAATCTAGTAAGGTCAAAGAGACAAAGAAATTTAGAAAGGGGTTCCAAATTTTGTAGAATTTAACAGTTGAGCCCTGAATAGTGTACTTTTTGTTGTTTTTCTAGAGAAAGGAAAGACATGAGATATTTTAACCAATATGTAGTTGAGGGTGGAGTTGGACACTTCCAATGTAGCAAAATGCAAAAAAAAAAAACTCTTATTCTGACGGCACCCATTCACTGCAGAGGATCCACTGGTGAGCAAGTGATATAATGCTAAATTTCTCCAAATGTGTCCTAATGAAGAAACAAACTCATCTACATCTTGGATGGCCTGAGAGTGAGTACATTTTCAGAAAATTGTACTTTTTTGTGAGAACTATTCCTTATGAACTCATAATGGAGGAATCTGTGAGATAAAACTATTATGAATGTTAAATGAGTATATAACTTGCCTACTTATCTGATTAATCAAATTATGTATATTCCTCTTCATTATATTATTTAAAATGGCATGAATGTCATTTAAAATGACACTATTATTGGTCTGACTGACCATTAAAAATACACACACATCCTGTTTTAATTAGAACTAATGTTTTTATATAACTACTACTGTTGCAAAGCTTTCTGGAAAGACAAAAATGCACGTAAACATGTATATACTTCTTCAAAAAACATCATAACAGCCTATTAAAAATAGGTTTATAATTAATTTAGTTAATTATATGAATGTTTTATTGACATTTCAAGCTCACTAAACACGTAATAGCAGTGTTTTGCGTTTAGTACATTTAAAATGTACTTTTTTCATGTATTATAAAAATGGTCCAGTACTGCATGCGGTAGCATTAGAGAAGCACCACATGATTCTTCAGTTTCAGCACTTTGGACAGGGACTGTTTTTAATCGCGAGGATAACGGAGATGGACGCTAGCACAGTGGGATTAGGATCTAAATCTAATACTTAATAAACTATTTACAATATTTTTGAATCCTAAAATACAACACACATGACTAAAATACATAAACAAACAATCGAGAGTAGCAGTGCCTATTTTAGTGTGCGTTACCCAGCGCGAGACTAATGGCCATTGGTGTATTACATGAGCCCAGTTTAGCCATATGCATATGCATTGATATATGCTGCATGGTTAAAATGGGTGTGATGGCTTGTGTAGACGTCACAGCATCTCTCAACAGCTTCCTGGGCCCATCCGCCATCCCGTTAATGACGGGGAGCCCTGCAAATACATCGACCTCCGTTATCTCGCAACCATGGCCGACGTTCCAGCGATAATAAACATCGCGATCTCCTTGAAAATCCAACCCAATGACGGACCCGTGTTTTATAAAGTGGACGGGACGAGGTTCGGCCAGAGCAGGACAATCAAATTGCTGACAGGATCGAAATACAAAATCGAGGTGATCGTGAAGCCGGGTAGCGCGGAGGCCACGTAAGTCGAATACGCGGTTAAACTGACCCTGTTTATATGCTTCTGATATTATAGGTGGTTGCATATAAATAGCTCTTGGCACTCGATGTTTTTCGCAATCCTGAGGTCGAAAGGTGCACCTGCGCTCCTGTAAGAAATTAAATATATCGTATATGTGATATAACTAATTAGACTGCTGCATGTGAATAAGGCGATTTGCGCAGTAGCCTGCGTTATTTAGAAAAGCTGTAAAACTGAGCCATGGGGATGTGTTACGAGTGCACGAGCCTTTAATGTTTAATTGACAGAAGGAATTTCAGATGTGTGTCTGTTCAGATAGTCTGACGCTTGTTTCAATGGGATTTCAGCACAATGGGAATCGGCGGAAAGAGCTTCCCTTTGGAGCAGCAGTCCAAAGATGAGGAGCAGATCGTCTACAATGGCACCTACGACACTGAGGGAGTGCCACACACCAAGAGCGGGGACAGACAACCTGTGCAGGTCTCCATAGAGGTGACACAGCCCAGCCGGGATTCGGAATAGAATAGAATAAAATAGAATTCATTATGAAGTTACGTGGAATTGCTAGATGCTAAATTGTTCATACTGAGGATTAGGGATTTGACGCTAAACTCAGCCTATATAAGCATTAGATTTCACTTGCAATTGGTACCGCACTGTTTTGGCTATTGACCTAAATGATGCTTCAAATTACTGAGAAGGTTGTGCTTCTGTTACTTTGCAAGACTCATGATTTGCACCTTTTTTTTTTCCCCCCTTTATTCAGTTCCATCACACAAAGGCACAATGCAAACAGGGAAACATTGCACATCTCAAAGCATGCAAAACAGAACAACAGCAACAACAACGCAAAATTAATACAACCATATATATATATATAAAATAAAAATAACAGGATAAAAAAAATAAAAATAAAAAAATAATACATACATTAGGGCAGTTACATAACTTTGAAAAGCTTTAGAATTTGTATTGTTTTTATTAGCTTCTTACTTTGTGTTATATAAGGACACTGCAACAAAAAATGTAATCCCCCAAGTTTTTCAAATAAATGATATGGGACAATATTGAAAATACTCGTTTGATTTTTTTAAAAGTTTTTAAGCCAATTAATTTTTTTAATTTGGTTGAAAATTGTAAAATTAAGAACATTTAACCCACCATCAGATATGATTTGCACCTGATGACAGATGATAAAACAGGCAATCAAATCCTAGTTTTTAAGTCATATCTGTTGATTGGGGGATGGGCTCTTTGACCTGGACCAATAAGAAACCAACAACATATAGCAACCTCATATAAACACCATGGCAACTACCAGGGCTCTAGAAACCATGTCAAAATGTATTTTTTTCCCCATTACTTTAACTCATCAAAATAATTTAACCAATTTCAACTTTCAACTGAACTTAAGCTGTACAGTAGGTGGAAATTTTAAGTGGGGATTTTTTTTCTTCAGAAAAATTCAAAAATATAGCTTATTGGTAGATTCCTTTGTTAAATACCATTTTCTAAAAGTCAAGAATGTTAAGACTCGATAAAACATCTTTTATTACACTTTCTACACATAACGTCTTGTGCTTAAAGATGCAAATACCTGCATATTTAGTCACCAAATGTTAAAAATGTAATACAAAAGCAGGCCTCACAATAAAACACTCCAAGACAGATGAAATGTGCCACAGCAAGAACAAACAATAAAATCAGGAAAATAAACATGATTTAAAAAGTGAAAAATATTAGATATTAAGCTGCACGTGTAAAAAAAAAAAAATGCATTTATGTGTTAAATTAAGCCATAATCCCAATCATATTTATTACAAATAACAAAACTATTTTATACTTTAAATTTTATTTAGGAATGGTCACAAAAAGTCTTTTAAAAAGCAGGCCTTACGATAAAAGCCCTTTAGGACATAGATGAATCAAGAAAATAAAGAAAAAGATCATTAGATATAAGCTTCTCATGTAAAACATTGCAAAAACAAAATGTGTATATGTGTTGTATTTAGCCATAATTCCAATCATATTTATTACAAATCACAACTATTTTATACTTTTAATTTTATTTAGGAATGGTCACAAAAAGCCTTTTTTAAAATGTAATACAAAAGCAGGCCACACGATAAAAGCCCTTTAAGAAAGATGAATTAAGAAAATAAATAAAACCATTTTAAAAAGGGAACAATCATTAGATATTAAGCTGTTCATGTAAAACATTGCTAGAAAACGTATATATATGTATTTAGCCACAATTCCAATCATATTTCCTACAAATTACAAGAACTATTTTATAACTTTATTATCATAATCAGGTACTGCAGCATGAAGGCCATATCAAATTAGGCCTATATATGCAAACTGAAATAACTTTTGAAGTAATAACGTCATGAAATAAATTCCAATCCATCCCCTCCTCTTCATTAAAGTCAAATACTAGGTTTCTCTTTCAGACCTGAGATGCAAAATCATTTGATCAGCGGTAATGATGAGAGAGAAATTAAGGCAGAAATACCCGGATGTGCTGTTCTAATGCACCTCCCCCCTCCGCTCCGCTGAGTCTCCCGCCCTCCTTTCCTCTCTTTCTCTCTCCACCACCGACTCAACCCACTGCCTCTTCCCCCTCCGCGGCGGACCTAACGTTACCGAAGCCACTGCAGTGAATCCGTCGACTGAAAGCCCGAGGAGAAGAAAATCCCTGCGACTTGCTCGCTCAGAAAAATAACCGTCAGCGACAGCAGCAGCGACCGTTCAGTTCCGCGAGACTCCGCACAAGGCGAAGACAAGCCCGGCGACAGCATGGTAAGGATCCCTTACAGCTCTCGCTAAACCGCTGCAAATATACCCGAGGTAACTAACGTTAGCAGATACTCCCGATACCGATTCGGATCAATCGGGCGTTTAACGCGCGTTTCTGGCGCCGCGACGGGCTTTAAATGCGCTCGCGGTGTCGTGATCAAAGCCGTTGTTGATAAAACAGAGCCAAGGCTGTCAGTGTGGCCCACGTTCAGGGCTGTTAGGCTCTGTACGCTGGGAACGGAGAAACACAGACGGAAAACACGGCGCTATCTTATAGATTCCGGTGTAAATATTGTATCTGAACGAGCAAGGATCAAATGTAACGGCGCGGCGGGGAAAGAGAAACATTGTATGGCAGCTAACGTTAGTAGCTGCTGCTCAATCGATACGGCTGTCAAGCTGATCGAGAGCTGGTTTGCGTGTCAAATAGACCCGTTGACAACTTGAATCGACTGGTTGATTCTCCAGAAAAGCCCGACTTTGCTTGGCTATTAATTATAAGATGGGGTTTCCTAAATTTGGGGACCTTTTCTGTCCCCTGGGGTCATTTTAAATGTATGCTTTCTCATTTCTAAATTATTTTGTAATGAATTACTGTAAAGTTTTCAATTTGCTCGAATGTTTCTGTTGGTTTTGTCTGTCCACCCAGACTTTTCAACTTCCCCTGTATGAGAAATTAATAAGAAGTGTTCAAATTTGGTTGATTTTGCCTTGCACATTTTCATAAAAGCATGTTCACATCATTTGATATTAATTTGAATCGCTGTGCCAGACACTGCTGTCATTACCACTATGCCAAGCATTTTAGATTACAACTGTGTTTCTTCAAAATGTAATATTTGGTTATGATGTGACGGTAATTTGCCAGTTTTTAGATTTTCACATCATTATTTGAGAGTGGGTTTATTAGGTGTCACTGCCCAAACAAATAGTATTTACTGGGGTTTAAATCTAAAAAATATTGTTGTTGATCCATGTTTATATTGCCTTAATGTAATATTTAGTCTTGTATATGTTATGACAAGTCGTGTCATGTATATGATAAGTCGTGTTTCAAAATTATGCTGATACAGTTCAGTCAATATCTGAAATCATACAGTAAGCTGAAGAAATGAGAAATCCACAGTTAGGAAAACCTGCAAATATCCTTAAGATCTTTTAAGTCATATTAGTATTAGCCATATTACTGATTAACCAATGAATTTGTGCCAAAATAGAGTTTGAATGGATGCATGCCATATAAGATAAAAAAAAAAGATATGGGAAGTAGATATTTGTTTTGCTATCCTAACTGTGAATGATTATGTGGTTAAATTTGAACTTATTTCCACTGCTGTCCGTGACCTTATCAGAACAGAACTGCAACCCATTTTTGGGTCTCCATAAAAATGATTTCTTTTAAAATCCTGGTCAAATAACGGAAGTTCATTGGTCAGAAGGTGTGCGCCTGTTGTTTGTCTGTTATAGGCATTCAGTTTAACCTCAATTTACACTGAATTGCTATCATCAGCAGTGTGGCTGATACAATGCAGAATATATGTATAATTAATGATGGCAAACAAGAGATACACAATATAAAATTTTGGAACTGACACTAGTTGGAATGAGCACTTTGTTTAATCAGCTCAGCCAATGAGAGAATCTCGGCCTGCATATCTGTGTATCAATGCAAATGACCCTGTAAGAAGACTCTCAATGCACTCAATTCAAAGGATAGAAAAGTATGCATACTTGGGATGCATAGCATAGCATTACATGCTCCAAAGGCTTCACAGACCTAGATTTAGCCTAGTCTACCAACACCATGTCTATATTGCATTTTAATTTCTATACTGTGTCTAAAGACTCTGAGCTCAAACAACCCACTGTAGTGCCTTAGAATCAGGCTCAGACAAAATCAGAGGGTGTTTTTCACATTTCCAGCACTGATTTGGGTGGAAAATTAGCGGAATAGATTTTAGCATGTGGAGCTGAGAGTACCGTACTACCATAAAACTATATACAAATATAACACTATAGTGTTTCTTTGACTTTCCAAAAGAGGAAAAAAAATACTGAGTATTGGTCAGAAGAGTGAAAGATGTCAAAATTGTAGTCACTCCCTCAACAGATGTATTAGAAACACTCACGCAGCAGCATTGACTAGTTTTCTCTAATTTAATGCAAAGGTAATAAAACAAAGTATAGTGTTAGGAATGTACATTATATTTTAAAAAAATGAAAATATAAAAATGTGCTCGATTTACAATGTTAATAACTCTGGAAGCACATCATCAGAATCTGTTAAACCGGTCCATTGCAGAAGTTCTGTTTGCTGCCATTTTGACCAGAAGATCCAGTTATGACATTTTGATTAAAAATTATGAGCTCAAAACTCTTTTAACAAACAAAATGTATGTACGGATTAATTATTCACAGTAAAATGAAATCTATAGCATGCATTTAGTAAATAGATTTTCATTTCATGCAAACTTTTGTCATGCTCGATTGGACAGAAAGTTTGATGAGAAGCTGAAGTACGATGTGATGTCAAAAAAATCATTGAGCCGTTTTGGTGTAAGTGACGAATTGCAAGCTTTGAATACTTATATCTTCTAAATGCAAATTTTGTCACTGTTTTGGAGCACACTGCCTTATAGATAACCTTAAGACTAACATATTGATACTAACACCCAAAAAACTTTAATTTTGATTTCATGGGGACTTTAAAAAAAAAAAAAAAGTCTGCTAAATTATGCAAGTGAACATCTGTTAACCACATGTTTATAGATACAGGCCTGATATGCTGACACTTTTCACCTGACCTTTCCCTTGCCTCAGATGATCCTGATGTCTCTTTTAATAGACGTTTCTACTAAAGGAGCTTCCTCATTGGACGTGATTGGGAGTGTTGTGATGTCATAAAGAGTAGAAAGTAGCCCAATCGAACATTGCTACATTTGTATGACTGTTTCCTCCACCTCTTGCTTTGCTTTGAGGCGTCTTTACTTGCCTGTCGACTCGCTCATGCTTGAGACCGTATAACCAGATGAAGTAATCCTAAACCCTCAATCCACTTTAAGTTAATTTGCTGTCTCTCTACCACTAAAGTCAAAATAGCACAGGGCACTCAACCTTAGCTAACCTACTAGCTGTGGCAAAACACTGTCTGTTTGTAGTGCACTGAGCGTTCGGACTAATTCTAGAGGGAGGGACATACTGAAACGGCTATGTTTAATACAGTAAATTAGAGAAGTCGGAGAACAGCGTTCGACCACGCAGTGACTCAAGTGACCTGTCACGCTTGAGTTTAATCTACTTCCACACACACTTATGTACACACAGCATGGAACTACACCTCATTTACTATCTCTACTACATGGTTTATCAGTGTGCTTGAATTTTTATCTTAGAAGAATGCTAGAAAACGTCTCCTTTTATTTTATCGTCATGAAATGGCCGAACAGGAACTCCACTTCGTAAGCTATGAAACGATGCAATAAACGTCTAATAGAGAGCTCTAGATATTCTGGAAGTTGCTCTAGAAACTTCTAGGCACAGACAGTGATGTCTCAGTTTATCTGTCCCGCTCTCTACAGGTTGTGGCAGCTTTGGTTTCTCCCTGCAAGTCATAACAGGCCTTCAGCACACAGCTCGATGAAGGCATCACCCCTCTTGCCGACTTGAAACAACTTGATTTTTGTCTGGGATGTCACACCTATCGACTTTTTTATTTTTTATGTCTTATCCAGTTCATTTAAAAACGAAAACTTGTGCTGTATTATTTTCTTTCCACCATGAAACCCCAAATAAGATGTTAATCATAATGTCCAAGATACTCTTTTTTCATCAAGTCTTTTATGTTTACCAAGGCTGTATTTATTTGATCAAGAAAATACAGTAAAAGCAGTAATATTGTAAAATATTACTATAATTTAATACATTTATATTATTTTTTAATGTAATTTATTCCTCTGTATTTTCAGCATCATTACTCCAGTCTTAAGTGTCACACGATCCTTCAGAAATCATTCTAATACGCAAACAGTTGTAAACCGTTATGCTGCTTAATATTTTTGTGAAAACCGTGACACATTTTTAGGATTCTTTGATGAATAGAAGGTTAAAAAGAGCAGAATTTATTTGAAATAGAAATCTTTTCTACCATTATAAACGTCTACTGTCACTTGTGATCAATTTAATGCATCCTTACTGAATAAGAGTATTAATTTCTTACTGATCCCAAAATTTTAAACAACAATGTATGTAGGGCTGAAAACACTCTAACTGAAAAACTTTTAGTGCTTTTCTATAGTATTAAGCCTCAAATGTCAAATATACATCGGATTGGTTTCTTCTAAATTATAAAAAAATAAAAATATGAATGGTATTATAATGTTATACTAAAACTAAAATTAAAATAATGGGAAAACCCCTTAAGATAACATGTAGAAAGAAAAAAAACGCATCTTAAGCACGCAGAATAACATAAGTGGACTTTGAACGATTAATTGCCGCTTTGAACGATTACGTAATTGTGGCATCCATAATTGTAATCGCGATTAGAAATTCAATTAATTGTGCAGCCCTAAATGTATGTATATATTAGAATAATCTCAATCATTTAGTATTAGATTGAGGGCAGAATTGCATCGCTAATAGAGAGAATGTTTTTAGCGCTGATGTCCCCGTTACAGTGTCTCTCATTGTCTTTCCTTTCTCTACTTTTCTTCTCTCTATCCTGCTCTATCATGGCATATTCTCTTCTCTCTCCGTCTCCTGCTATTTCTGCGTGTCCCAGTGTACTGAAACTGGATGGTGATGGGGTGGCCTGCTTTCTTTCCTGGCTTATTGCAGTGTGTATTTCCACTCTAATGTGTAACAAAGGAATACCTGGGTGGTAAGACTCTATTACGTGTCAGTCGCTAGAGATTTTTGTTAGAAATTATTTTCCATTTATATTGTGATCAATACATTTGCATGTTTACCAGTGGCCTTCTAGTAATGAAAAAGGTATAGTAATG